ACACTTTTAACTTAACACACCGTTCATATGTGCGTGTGTGCTGTGTGTGTGATAGAGATGTGCCATACTCAGGTAACGTGACTCTGTCTTTTGTTTTGGACTCAACATACTCTTGATCTCTGATGTGAGTGTGATCTGGTGTCAGGTGTACATCAGCAGGTTTCCAGAAATGAGAGCTGTCGAGACACACGGGAAACACTAGAAGAGACAGAACAGACAGAAAGTGAAGAAAGGAGGGAAGGAAGAATGTATAGAAGGAAGGAAGGGATGAAAAAAGGAAGGAAGGAAGAATACTTGTAGAGCTCCCTTAAGACTTAAGACTGTCTAAAATAGAGGCCAGTGCAGAAGTCTATTAAGCCTGCCTCATTTCTAATGGCCAGCAGAGGGCGACTGCTTTGGTTCCAAAATGAAGTCAACAGCATTGTAAGTCTAGACAATAAAACCTGCAGCTCGCTTGGTCTGTGACCTCAGTGAAAACTTTCTGATAAGTTTATCATCTCACTTGGAAAGTTCAAGTGCATGATGTTTCTTATTAGAGCCAAAACATCAATGTCAATAAAGCAGTGTGTGCTCGTTGTCACAGAATGCCGTGTCCCTTCGTTTGTGATTCACCCTTCCCATGTGGCGGCTAGTTTTAAAAAAAAAGCTGACAGGATGATAATGATGAAGTCAAAGTTTCAAAAAATGTGACTTCACTAACTATTACTATGGTGTAACCATCTTTTATATACAATTCATGCTTCAGACACATTCATAGTGCAGGAAATGTTTGGTTTAAAGTGAGGATGCTGCACCGTGTGCACATGGTGCCCACTCGCGCACATGAAATCATTGGACTGTCACCTGTTTTGTTCTCACATGAGCTGGGTTACATCACATGAACTTCATACTAGAACGCCGGCAGGTTAAACGTCAGTTAACGTTCAATTTGTGCTGCGGTGCATGCAGAGAAACTTTCTGCAACCATTTGCATATTTTAGGCATGCTTTTATAAGCAGATGCTTTCATGTATTGTTATCAAATTCATGTTGAGCATATCGTCTTGTTGATGGATAGTTGTTATTCGGTTAGTGAGGGGGGAATTACTCTTAATTGGGATTTGTTCACATAAATCATCTGCTCAGATTCATTTAGAAATTCAGTTTTGACCAAGATCACATTCATGTGACCAAGGGCCCGAGGGTGCACTCACTCACAGCTCGTAAAGTCGCTCCTTCAACACTGGTGTTAAAATCTCAGGTTATTTTATGTAAGCAAGCGTGATCTGAGGCTATATTACATATTGTTGCACTTGAGTACTCAAGCTTCTCTTCTCTCCGACTTTGCTGGCTGCTTTCTCCCACTCACTTGCTGCTCTCTCTTAATTTGGATCACTTGCATCACCACTGACATCACATTTTTTTTATTTTTACATTGCTTTCCTGTTTCTAACCTCAGCCCCACTCATCCTCGCCCTCCTCAGAGTTTGCTGACGCGATGAGGTGGACATGACTCTTTCTTCATGTCAAGAAAAAAAGAAAATACTGACTGACTCACAAGCCATGCTTGAAGTCGGCAGCAGGAAGCGGGTAGGGATTTAACTTCTGTGTAATCCCTTCTGATTTTATTTTCACACACAAACCGCTGTCTCACACCGCGAGCCCACGCGTCTGGCCCTCGGGTTACAGCGCTGTAATGGTGTGGCCTACCGTGCCGTGTCATGTGTCACCTCTTAGCATGTGATTGATGGGATGTGATGCGATATGGAGCTGATAGAATGGCTGCAGCGATAGGGTGTCCATCAGATCTCTGGCTGACTTTACTGGTATCTATTACGGATTACACTTTGGTAATGTTTCCCAAAGTAAAGGAGCTTAAATCGTCTCAAACTCACGCTATCATCCTTCTACTCATTGCGCTTTGCAGCTCTGGCTTTTTCCACCAGGGTTAAACTACAAGGCAAAATGGTTAATGTTCACCTTGCCATTGTGAATTTAGCTTTGTGTCTGTCTGAACTGCCAGATCAAAGAGAGCAGGGCTGCGAGAGAGACCGCTACTTTACAAAAGCAGGACCACAGTCACCCTTTAAATTTGAAGTGAAGGCTTAGGCTTAGGCTTTCTGTGAAGCCAGACATTCAATCAGCCAGAGAACTTGATGCACATGCACACACATTTATTCCCTCGCACACACTCTAACACACACACACACACACAGAGTAACAAAAGTGTCAGACATACCCACAAGAACGCACACATACACGTCCACTGCAGAGTATGAAACAGATGAGCTTCACACACACACACACACTCCTACCTGTCCAAACACCGAGTCCACTATGGGCAGCAGGTCGACGGGCTCCTCTTCCTTCTCCTTCTCCTTCTCTCTCCTCCGCGGTCCCTCCATCAACTCCTCCAGCTGTTCCTCCAGCGCTTCGCTGTCCTCACCCGCCTCTGCTGCCGTCATCGGGGGTAATTTGGATTTTTGATTGCGAGCAGCAGCTTGAGCGTCTCCGCCACCCCCGCCACCCCCGCCCTGGTCGTTGGTTCGCTTCTTTTGCTTCTCCACCTTCTTCTTGATGGCAGCCTGCACCTGTGGGAAGGCAGGGGTGGAGGAGAGTAGAACAGTGCACTCAAACTTATATCAATATAAAGCATGACCGATACTACTGAGACTGTAGATGAAATACAGCGCCACAGCGCTCACTGTCTGAAACGTGAGATGTTTAGTTTATAACATTTGCTCTAGGAAGATGTGACATGAACATACTTTATAAGGAAGATGCCAAAATAAGAACAATACACAACTTGCAGAAATCAAAATGTTATGAAATGCATGCATTATAAAAATATTTTTAAAATGATTATTTTTAACCTATTACATAGACATCCTTTAACCCATTTACAGTAATCCAGTTTGTTTTAAAACTTTAATAAGTTGTCACATATGGGTAACAGGTGTTTTCCACAAGAAATCAACAGTTCATCTTTTGTATCAATGACTCTTATCATTCTCTCGGCAAAACAAAACTTCAGCATGCACAATATAAAATGTGATATAGGCACACAGCATGTAAGGACGCACACACACACACAGACAATTATATATATCTATCTGCACCCACTCCCACTCACCTGCTTCGCGCTCCTCTCCGGTGGCACGCTCATCGCTCCAGCGGCTGCCCCGGATGCCGGCTCTCGAATGATCATGAACATCTCGGTGTCACGGGCTAACACACACACTCTCTCTCTTCGTCGCTCGCCCTCCCCCTCCCTCACCCTCTCGCTTCCCTCTCCCCTGCTCTCCTCTCCTCTCCTCTGCTCTAGCTCTTTATGTCTTAAGTGTAATAAAACTCCCCCTCAAAAAAAA